TCTGCTGCAGCGGCAGCAGCAGCAGCAGCAGCAGCAGCAAAGCCAGTTTCCGCAGCTGCAGCAGGAGGCGTTCCACCCTCAGCAGCAGCAGCAACATCCAGCAACAGCAGCAGCAGCAGCAGCAGCAGCAGCGGGTTCAGCAGTGCAGCAGAAACTCGTGCGTTGCTGCTGCGTGCTGCTCTCCCTGTGGCTCGACCTGCTGCTGCTTCGCTGCGGCTGCTGCTGGGGCAGCAGCTGGCGCTGCTGCAGCTGCGGGGGTTCTACAGGCGGCTGCTGCAGCAGCTGCCGCAGACAGACAGGCCGCTGCTGCTGCGTCCAGAGCCAACAGCAGCAGCAGCAGCAGCAGCAGCAGCAGCAACAGCAGCAGCAGCACAAACTACCCCTTGCTCTCCTGCTTGCTGCCAGCTGCATGCAGCAGAAAAAGGGTTCGTGCTGCTGCAGCATACAACTGACGATCGGCTGCTGCTGCGACACCTCTGCAGCAGCAGCAGCAGCAGCAGCAGCAGCAGCAGCAGCAGCAGCAGCATTGTGTGCAGCATTGATTTCAAGACAGTCCCTTCAGAGGCAGCGCCTGCTGCTGTTGCTGCTGCAGCAGCAGACAGCCTCAGGGGTGCTGCAAGGGGATCTGCAGCAGCAGCAGCAGCAGACCATGAGGGTCTCTGCAGCAACAGCAGCAGCAGCAGCAGCAGCAGCAGCAGCAGTAGCAGCAACACACTTCTGGCTGTAGACTGCGACGCCCACGGCCTGCATGTGCTGCTGCAGCTGCATGCAGGGGGGTTGGGGCTGGCTTGGATAGTCTATAGGCAGCAGCAGCAGCAGCGACAAAGAGGGAAACAGCAGCAGCAGCAGCAGCAGCAGCAGCAGCAGCAGCAGCAGCAATACTGCTGGAGTGTACACGCAGCTCTACGCCTGAGGGGATCGCCCCGCCTTCGGTTTGCTGCCTTTGGCCGCGAGGCCTGCAGCAGCAAGCACCTAGCCTGCGCCAGTACTGAGGTACTTGCTGCTGCTGCTGCTGCTGCTGCTGCTGCTGCTGCTGCTGCTGCTGTTGGTGCTGGTGTTGGTGCTGCTGCTGCTGCTGCTGTTGGTGCTGCTGCTGGTGTTGGTGCTGCGGCCGCTGCTGCTGCTGTTCGTGCTGCTGCTGCTGTTGGTCTTGCTGCTGCTGCTGCTGCTGCTGCTGCTGCTGGTCTGGGATGATAACTGCTTTTGGCCTGTGGCTGCTTGGGCGTCGCGTAGCTGCTGCTGCTGCTGCTGTT